TGCGCATGCGCACACGCATACACACACTCACACACAAGTAGACGCAACACTCCCCAAAACAGCCTCTTTGCAACACCAACACCATCGGCAACAGCTGGCAGCGAGCGCACTCCAGCTCTGCTCACCTGCCACCATCAGCCCGTACGCCAGGCCCAGGCTGCTCTTGCCCATGGCTGCCACAAACACGTTGGCGATGCGCTCCCCCAGCCCGGTGGTCTCAAACGCCTTGGCGAAGAAGAACGAGATCACAATCAGCCAGATCACCTGTCGCGGGCGGCGGTTCGAAAGGCGCGAGAAGCGTGTCGACGTGCGTATCCCAAGTGACTGGGCTGAGCACCGCGCTTGCGCCTGCCGCAGCTGCACCCTCCGCCGCCCGCCTGCTGTGCTCAAACAGCAAGTCTTAGCCCTGACTGCTTCAATTGCTGGAGGTCAGAGGCAGCTTCGTTCCAAAGCATCCCCCCACCTCGGACGTCATAGCGCTCATGGCCGAGGCAAATGGCAGCGTGCCGGTCGCGACGACGGTCGTGAGACCAAGGAACGCCCATGCGCCAACCGGCAGCGGGCCCAGGACCAGGCCTGCGAGGGAATCGTTGATCACGTAATCATGCAGGGCGAAGCCGTCACGGCAGGGGCGGGGCGTCGACCACCCGCTACGCCTCTGCCCGCGGCCGGGCCGGGCCGGGGGCGCGTGGGCCGGCGTGCTTGATTTGGCCCTTCCTTGCCTGCGCTGCAACCTGCTGCCGGGGTCCCTGGAATCGTCACCCATGAAATGCACCCCCTCCCTTGCAAACAGTGCCGAACACATGCATGCACCCAAGTACAACGTGCACGCGCACAAGCCGCCGACCACCCCAGCGCCCAGACCCCGACCCACCACAAATAGTTGAGATGAATATGGCAAACAGCTGCCATGCCTGAGCGCTGACGCCCGCCGGTGCCGGAATCAGGAAGTTCACGATTAGGCCCAGGCCAATCGAGATGGCCGCGGGGATTGGCTTGACGCCAATCGGCGCCGCCGGCTGGGCAGGCTGCGGCGCAGGGGCAGCAGCGCCGGAGGCCGATGCCCGGACCTCCACGCGGCGCTGGCGCTGCGGCAGCAGCGGGGCAGAGGCTGCGGCGGCTGCGGCGTGCTGCTTGGGCTGCCGGGGCATGGACGCAAGCGGCCGGTGGGGCTTGAGCCAGAGGCCAGTGGGGGTCGGCAGGGCGGCGCACACAGCGGCCGGCCGCCGAGCCGCCGCAAGGGGCCGAGCGCCCAAGAGGCGCGGCTGCATCATGTCTGTTGGGATGTGGCGGCGGTGCATTGTCTTGTGGTGGGCCGCAGGGGGCTCCAGCGGCAGGTGTGAGTACGACGGCAGTGGCACGCACACCGCCGCACCGCCGGGGCTTGGCACGATGCGCGAGGTGCCGCAAAGTCTCAAGTTGGATCTAGACGATCACCACCAGGTCGTGTCCATAGCACAGGCGGCTCCAATTGCGGCCCATGGGACCCATCAGCCTAAGACTGCGGTTCACATGTATCACGCAGGGCCCTCACCAGCCCAGTAGATCAATTTAAAGCTAAAACTTCAATTTAGGAGACCTCTCAGCGCCACAAGAGGTCGATCGCCTGGGCTCCTACAATACTCGCTGCCGAGGCCCTGTTGGCTGTCGAGTTTGCAGCTGCGGTAAACTCGTGTCCAAAAAGCCCGGTGTATAAAGGCCCATTAGAGGGCCTCTGGAGTGCCGCCAGCTTGATGACGGCTGCCTATTTTCGAGTGCCGAGTGATCTGATATAGGATGAAGTGACCTCCTAGATCAATTGTTTTCTTTCAAGATGCAGTCTCAGCTCCAATTCGCCAGCGGCCGGCAGGCCGTGCGGGCACCGTTTGGTGTGGGCAAGGCGGGCACCCTGCTGCCTTCACCTTATCAAGGGGCATATGCAGCTTTCAAGGATGTAAAGTACAGCAGACGCGCTGCCGAGTCCGTCACCCGGGCCGCCCCGAACACGGGATCGTCTCGCAAGCGGACGGCGCGGGTGTGCGCGGCTGCCCCTGCCGCAGAGAAGCGTGAGTAATTGTTAAGTCTCACAATGGGCGCCTGCACGTGCGCTGCAGCGCTATGCATGAAGCGGACGCGCGCATGCGCTGCGCGCGTGTGCTGCTGCTGGTCCTGTGCTCTGTCAGCGTCTGCGCGTATCCCGTGTGCACCAATTGCATCATTCCCTCCACAGTTGAGCAGCTAACCGTGCAGCCTGTCAAGAAAATGTCTGGCGTGGTGAAGCTGCCTGGCAGCAAGTCCCTATCCAACCGCATCCTGCTGCTGGCTGCACTTGCTGAGGGCACCACCCTCGTCAAGAACTTGCTGGTGGGCGGTTGTGTAGTATCACTGCATGCGGTGTTGGACATATGTGCTCGCGTGGTACTTCTGGGTGGCATGTGGCCGTTGACACAGCAAGTGCTGCAGCGGTCGCTACGTATGCCGCGCTGGTTGCAGTGCAGCAATCACACAGTGGAGCAATCACAAGCAGAGGGAGCACGGCGGCGCCAGGTCCCACGTGTTTGAGCAGCAACAGCAGGTCAAGCTGGTCCACGGTCGAGCAGCCGCTTCACAGCATAGCTCCTGAGTCGCCCCAGACGCAGCCTTGGCCCCTGCCAGCTGGGGCTTGCAAGTGCTGCAACCACCCAGCAACGCAGACCTTGCACGTCCACCGACACCCTTCACATACCCTTCGTCACAAATACCAATGATCACAGGACAGTGACGACATCCGCTACATGGTGGGCGCCCTCAAGGCGCTGGGCGTGACGCTGGAGGAGCGCTGGGAGGTGGGGGAGATGGTCGTGCACGGCTGCGGCGGACGCTTCCCGGTTGAGGTGCGTGGCAGCGCCACCTTACTTTGTCGGCCCCGATATAGCAGGGGTTTGCTTGTCTTTTGCAGGATTTGGGTGGAGGATTTATAGAGGTTGTTGCTGCCCGTGGTCGAGGTGGGGTTGAAGGAGATAATGCAATATTTCGGAAGCAGGGGTGGTGATGGAATAGTTGGGTCACTTGCTGGGCACCAGGGTGTGGAAATGGGCCCCAGGGGTGCATGGGACCCCGCCAGGCCGTATCGCTGTGTGCACGTGCCTTTTCCAGCATCGACCGCCAGATGTGTGCGCGCATGCACCGCCAACCGACCCACCGGCATAGTAGGGGGTGGTGCGCCCTCGCTCAGCCACCCCGCTGCGCACTGCCCCGCACTGACGAGCACCCGCGATGCAAGCGCGCCCCAATTTAACACCGCGACCCGTCGCACCGGCAGGGCGCGGAGCTGTTCCTGGGGAACGCCGGCACCGCCATGCGCCCGCTCACCGCCGCCGTCGCCGCCGCCGGCCGCGGCGCCTTTGTGCTCGACGGCGTCGCGCGCATGCGGGAGCGGCCGATCGCAGACCTGGTGGACGGCCTGGTGCAGCTGGGGGTGGACGCGGAGTGCACCCTGGGGACGGGCTGCCCGCCGGTCGCGGTCAACGCGGCCGGCCTGCCGCCGGGCAAGGTGCGGGCCGCGGCTGGCGGCGGAAGTCTGGGCAGCGCAGGGCGGTCCTGTTTCAGGGTTGCCGCGGACGCGGCGCCGTCGCCGCCGCCAGATGTGTTGGGAGATGCTGCCCTCCGCCCAAGCGCTCCCCTACATCATTGAACCAAGGCCCCTGAGGCCCGCAAAGACACCTGCAACGCCTCAGCTCCACACCCACCTGCCGCCGAATCCCTCTCCACCGCCCCCAACCGCAGGTCCAGCTCAGCGGCAGCGTCAGCAGCCAGTACCTAACCGCCCTCCTCATGGCCGCCCCCCTGTCCACTGGCGAGGATGGCATTGAGATCGTCATCAAGGACGAGCTGGTTAGTCAGCCGTACGTCGACATGACCGTGAAGTTGATGCAGAAGTTTGGGGTGGAGGTGCAGCTGCTGGACGGGCTCACGCACATGCGCATCCCTGGGCGGCAGACGTGAGCAATTTGGGGCGCCTGTGGTGAATATTGGGTGGGTGTGGGGCTCAGGGCGCTTGCAGGATCCAGGTCCCGAGATCGCGCTGCTGCAGGCCCACTCTGCACACTTGCAGGGCCAGCGTCAGTTTATGATGGAGACGCAGCTCCTGTGCGCGTGCCGCGCGCGCCCCACGAATCCACCACACGCTCCCTCACACCCACCTCGATGCTGTGCGCACCTCCATGCTGTGCCCACCAGCCCCTACCCCCCCCTCAAAAGCTCTAGCCCACCCTAATCTCAACCACCCTCTACCGCTCCACCCCAACCCGCCCCACCCTGCCCGCACC